TCGTCCTGACCTAGCATACCCTCTTAGCATCTTAGCATGCTATGTTGCTCCTGGGAGACACCGACCAGAGCACATGGCTGCAGCGAAGAGGGTGTTGCGCTACTTGTGCAGTACGTCGGGCATGGGGCTTGTGCTTGGTGGGCAGAGTCCAGTGGTCCTCAGTGGTCACGCAGACGCTTCTTGGGCTGACGACTTGGCTACGCAGCGGTCGTCACAGGGTTACACCTTCAGTCTTGGTTCCGGCTCTGTTTCGTGGCGGTCTACCCGCTCGTCTTCTGTTCTCGGCTCCAGCTGTGAGGCCGAGATCTACGCAGGGGCCATGGCTGCACAGGAGTTACGTTGGCTCACCTACCTGCTGACCGACCTGGGAGAGCCGCCTCGTTCTCCTCCAGTTATGTACGTGGACAACAAGGCCATGCTGGCCTTGTGTCGGGAGCACAGACTGGAGCACGGAACGAAGCATATTGCTCTTCGCCACTTCCTTGCTCATGAGCTGCAGCAGCGTTGTCAGCTGCGCCTTGCTTACGTGGCCTCTCAGGCCAACACTTCTGATATCTTTACCAAGGCACTTCAGCCTTGTGATCATCAGCGCTTTTGTACGATGCTAGGTCTTGCGCCTACTTTGCCTCACTTGCTCACTTCTTGACCTTGCTTGTACTGTGATCTATCTATACCTGCACTTGCTTGTTTACCTTTATATATAATCTTGCATGTGAACTGGCCTCGTGGCCTTGAACTTGTGCTCGGAATGTGTGGTGACGTTGTGATCCACCCTGAGCTTGCTGTGCTTTGCGTGACTGGTCTTGTGACCTCTTGTTCTCCCCCACCTTGTCTATGGGGGTGTGTCAAACTTATATGCTATAGTCTATCTAGGCTGTAGTGGGGTAGATACTATAGGGTACAACACTTCTAGGTTTCTAATTTGTACCCACACATTTCCTAGTCAATCATTCCTCATTCTTCACATTGTAGTACCTTGCCTTGGCGTCGTCGGTATCTTCAGAAGGCTCCGTGTAACTCCCGTCAAAGTAGTGAAAAATCTGAACGTTCTGCAGCAGGAGCTCCAGCTCGAAGCTCCAGGTATAGAAGTCTCTGCCGTCAAAACACACACTTGTCTTTATCTTTGATATGCTGAGAAACCTTGATTGCGCAGAGAGAATTGCCTCTTCACTGGGACGGGGAGTCTTGGGGGTTGAGCCATTTGTGTCGAGGGAGAAAGTGTGCGGGGCGGCATCCTGGCCGTTTGGGATCGGTTGAGTAGGTTGCGAGGAGGTTCCCGCATCGCCGTTCCGCAATGTCTGGAGCCCTTGCTCCAGGCTGGTGAGTTGCTGAAGTAATTGTGCGAGGACTTCGGTCCCGATCGTCATCGTTTCCTCGCTTGTCGCAGCTGGTTTGGGTTGCGCTTCAGCCGTCAGATTTGTCTGACCACCGGATCCTCCGGCCATTCTCACACGTGATCGTGTGCCGGATGCCACTTTCCGAGTGTCGCAGATTTCGGAGATGGCAGTGCGAAGGATCCCCGAGTCGCTCTGATACCATGTTGCGATCAGAAGGTGATCGCTCCTAGGATCTCCTCTTCGGAAGGTTCGCACACACCTAGATAGTGTTGGTGGGCCCTTGACCTCAATAGCAGAGTGAATGTAAAAGGCTTGATGATGAGTACAAGGGAATTCGAATCGACCTAGCTAGCCATGTACTCTAAGGGGTACATCTCCTTATTCGAATTCATTCCCAAACGTGCAACGCGTACAGTTGCGAAACTGTTCACGCCTAATTCCTCTTGCTTGCAACTGCACGATGCCGTCTGCTCCGACGGTCCTGATCCACCCTAACCGTCTGACGCTTCGAGTCAACTCTGACCCTTCACATTCATTCTCGATACTGCGTGCTTCCTTAGCTGCGGTTTGGAGTGCACAGAGACATCTTCGTCCATTGCCATTCGTAACACTTATCATCTTGTTTCTTTTCAACTTTATTATAAACAATGTCCTTACAATACATCACTGTCTTCTTTCACCTGTCTTCTCCTCTTTATATATTGTCAAATCATATTTGTGCTTGCTAAGCTATCCTGGGGTACACCATAAGGGGTACAACCCCAATTAGGTTCAGGACTTGTATCTCATCTCAACCCAATCCGAAAATTCCTCTCGTTCTAGTTCTCACATCTATTCCTTGGTTATATCAACGGTCGTCGTAAGTGTGGTTCCGCGAACCACCCTAACCTAAACATAGCGTGATACGTATGTGAGAAAATGAACGAATGAGTAGAATGAGGGCATGCAATTGGGATATGTAGAAAGTAATACCCCCTAGAGCACAATTCAATCTAGCCTACAAGAACACGTGCACGCAAATATGAAAAATTTCTAAGCGTTCATCGCTTTCAAATTTGTGTATTGTGAAAGCGAAGCTGACTGTAATGCAATTTTGAGCATCGTCGAAGCACGCTATTCGCCTTCTCCGAATATATAATGTGGGTTGGGGTCATTCTTCCCCCACCCACGTCTCTCATTTTTACAATCGCTCAAGTTCAATTCCCAGTTCCGAGACCCATCCCGATTTTTTCGGAGGCTCCGACTCCCTCCCGATTTTTTCGGACCTCAACCTGGCGAGGGTGAAAACCCTTCCACGCTTTCAAGCACCCTCTACCCTACTGTCGGATATTCTTAACTACAATCAAGCTTCGATGGCGCCGAGCGACAACGCCCCGAATCGTTCGGACAACGAGAAGAATACCCGTGAAATTACGGGAGATCGCCGCAACAAGCGGCGGGCGGACGACGAAGGCAACGCGCCCACTGGTGTCGACCTTTTGACGCGCAGTGGCGAAGTCAACAAAACCGCCAACCAACAGCACCCCTCGGCGCCTGTGGCGCCAGTGGCGACTGTGGCGCAAGTGGCGACGACGGCACCTGCAACACCTGTGGTGCCACACGCGCCTGACGCCGAGCACGCGCCAGCACCTGTGGCTGGACCGTCGCGTCAGCGCCAGAGGCGCCGAACTGGGTCTTCGTCTGACGCGACGGCTGACCCTGTTTTGAATCCGGCGCTGACTGCTGACCAAGTCCAAGCGCTTTTGGCGCTGTTACAGCAGCAGCCGCCGGCGGTTACGGCTACAGCGACAACAATTTCTGCATCTGCTAAAAACGCAAACGCAAGAAACGATTTGGCACGTCACCCTCGCGCAACCGAAGTCCCTCGTGCCGAAAGGGAACACGCTGCTGCTGCGGCGCCCAATAATGTCAACGACGGCAGCGACTCTGAAGATGAAGCGGGTGAGGCCAACGCACACACTAACTTTATTGCACCTACCGAGCATCTTCCTCCACTCCCCTCCACCAACCCCACCATTCCGGCATCCTCATTTCACCACGCCGGCGTACGCGAGCAAGCCGAATTTCTGGAGGACCTGCGCGCGTACCTGAAGCACTCGGAGCACAAGATACATCACGGCGACACGGCTGGCGCCCTCGAGCACTTCGACGAGGCGTACGCGCTCATCGCCGATCGCTTCCAACTCCTCCAAGTTGCCGACGCATCTGACTTCAAGACGGCGCACCGCTTCAAGCTCTGCCAGCAGAAAAGCATGCTGACGTCGCACCCCTTCAAGTAGGCGGTAGCGGACGTGGCAGCGATGAAGCGTGCCCAAGGTTCCTACGGTCGCGGTTCTTCCCTTGGAGGCCGAGGCTCGGGGTTTGGCGGCAAAATTGGCACGGCCCCCGGCTGCGATGCTAGGAGCTTCCGCGGCACCTGCTTCCGCTGTGGCCAGCCGGGTCACACCGCCAGCGCATGCCCTGCTGGTGGGCACGGCCCTCACGGACCCGCGCCGGTGGTTTAAGCTCGACGAGGAGCATAACCGCACAAAGGCCGTTGGTCGTGCCCGTTGGGCTGTTTTTATTTTCTAGTCGCCGTTTGGCTGGCCTTAATTACCATTTTTGGGTCTACGGCGTTTGCCTAGAAGCTCTTTAGAGCATCATGAAGTCGATCTTCTCGTGAAATTTTGTTGTGAATGTTTTCCCTAAGGGGAAGAGACCATAGATGATCTTAGGGCGTTTGCCTAGAAGATTGCTATAAACCCTATGAAGTTGTTCTCATTGAATATAATTTTTTGATGTGCATTTTGTTGAGATGACGAGGAGAAGCATTCTCCATGTGTCTCTTGGTCGCTCTTGATTTTCTGCCCCATGCCTCAAGAAGGTTCTTGGAGAGAGGCAACGAAGTCTCGAGAAGCTTAATACCTCAACAATCATTGGAGAAACTGAAGGGCAAACAACCTTGCCATGAACTGACTCTAAAAAAAAAAAAAAAAAAAAAAAAGACAAGACAAAGAGAGAAAGAGAGAGAGAGAGAGAGAGAGAGAGAGAGAGAGAGAGAGAGAGAGAGAGAGAGAGAGAGAGAGAGAGAGAGAGAGAGAGAGAGACCTAGCCTCTGCCCTCTCCCTTAGCCCTCTGCCCTCCCCTCTGTGAGCTACTTAAGAGGCCTTCTTGGCCTCTTCCCCTCATTGTTCGGTGGGTTCAGAATTTCTGGTGAACAGGTGGACAGGTGAACAGCCCGCAGACCCTGGATCAGGTGAACAGCCCGCAGACCCTCAGAAAGGCGCCAGAGCTACCCGAGTGACGCCTCGGGCACATCCGCCGAAGGAGAAGGCCCTACCAGCGTCTGGACCGGAAGATCAGCTGCCGGAGGATCAGGAGCAACAGGCAGCAGGGACGGATACTGCGGCGTCACTGGTCCCCTGCCCGTAGTCACAAACTCCACACCCGCCACAGGAGGAACCCACGGCAGCCGGAGGCGGTTCCCATGAGCAGCAGGTGACGGGGTGTGAGCACGAGGAGGAGGAGCGGCAGTCGAAGGAAGCGGAGGAGCGGGCGCATAGGGCGCAGGCGGAGGATGAGACACCGGCGCAGGAGCATGGCGCGGCGAACTGCTCAGACTCGCCCGCCCGTTCCGCTCCTCGCGCATCGCGTCAGACACAACCCGCTGCAAATCGGCCATTGTCACCGGCTGATCGTACACCCATCCGCCACCGTGACCACGCCCTCCCCACCAGCCCCCTCGGCCGCCACGTGGTGCAGCCCGGTTCGCCTGGGAACCACGGCGGCGAGGTGAATCATGACGCCGCCGTGACGTCTCTCGCTCGTCACGCGGTGCAGGGGATTGGGGCCGATGCTGCCGACGGCCCGGGGATGCAGGACGTTGGGCAGGAGGACCAGGAGCAAGGGGTGCGGGAGCAGGACCCGCCTGTACGGTCGGAGGCGGCACTGCCGCCGCCGCAGGCGGAGGGGCAGGAGCATCCGGAGGCGACGCGCGAGCCGACTGAACCTACGCCGAGCTCAGGCCGGCGCTGGTGGCTGGAGGTGGCTGGTACGTCGGGTCCGCACCAGCAGCAGCAGAAGGCGCCACGGCAGGCGCGACCAGTGGCGGCGAGTCGGCGCCTCCAACAGCAGCAGACGCCGCCGCAGCCCCAAGCACGGGCGCCGACGCCCCCACGGGGGCAAGTGGAACCACCGGCGCAGGCGCAGGAGAATGCACACGATCAGACGCCGCAACAGGCCCAGGGCCAAGGGCAGGATCAGACGTCGGGGCGAGCGCGGGAACAGGTGACCAGCCCGGCGCAGGACAAGGCGCCACACCAGGCGCCGACAATGACGCCACGGCGGGAGCAGGCGGCGCAGCAGGCGCGAGGACGAGGCCAGCCTGAGTCACGGATGACGGTGCGGGAAGAGGAGACATCTCCACAGGCGCAGGCGCCGGGGACGATAAGGCAGGAGGGGCAACTGCAGCCGACGCCACGGGAAAGGGCTGCAGCGAGTACGAGTAATACTCGTCGCCAATCGACACGGGCATCGCGGGGCGGACGAGGCGGCGGACGAGGAGGAGCGACAGGAAGGGGAGGCGGACCGGAAAATGGCTTCCAGAGGGAAGCGCGCCGCGCCTTAACTCGAAGAGCGGAGGATGATGAAGCTGAGGAGGAGGGAAGAGACCCTACCTTTATAGCTGAGATGGTGGAAGAATCCACCACGGAAGAATCGGGAGAGTTAGAGGAGGAGGAACGGGAAGGCAGACACCGGGGAAACGCAGCACCATGCCGAACCGCCCCAATCCCAGCTGCAGCAGGTCGCGTATCAAACCAGCCAGGACCGGACACCACCGTATCAGAGACCCGCCAATTCTCGCCTGAACAATTGGCCAAGGACTTGGAGCGGTTCGGCGAAGTGGAAAAATGGGACCTGACCCCCCTACGCGACAGTCGTCAGCCCCCACTGTCGCGTAAACTCCCCGCTGACATTCGCCCACTTTTCGCAACTGCCCTCCTGTCACCACTCCTCCACCTCGCGCGGAACCCTGTGTCAGTCGCAGGCTGGCGCCTGTTACTTTTTATCCCGCGTCTCACCCTTCGCCTCCCGTCAACTGAGAAACCCGATTGGCCGGCAGTCAAGCAGCGACTTCGCCAATTCAACAAGGGCGAATGGCAGCAGCTGTACGACGCGGCGGTTACCGCAATTACCGGACCCCACCCGCCTCGCCACACGCCAAATGCCATAGGCAAACGAGCCAGGGCAGAGGGCCTTGCGCGAAAAGGCAGCCTTCGCAGGGCGATCCTCGCCCTCGAGTCTGTCAAACATTATATATGTTGTGTTAGTTTAGGCTACAGTGGGTTAGCCTATAGGGGGTACACAATTCTAGGGTTAGGTACTTGTACTCTTTTCATTGCTAGTTCATTCATTCCTGTTCAGTGATTCCAACATGGTATAGAGCAGGTCCTTCCTAGGACCGAAATTTTCTAAGGGCCCACCACTACGTAACTACCTACCTACCTACCTACCCGTGCCCTAGGGCGCCTCGGCGTGTCACGCCCCTAGAGGCCCCTCTTGACGGCCCCGCGCTAGCCCCGTTCAGGCCCCGTCGGCCCCGCGCTAGCCCCTCTCAGGCCCCGTCGGCCCGCGCTAGCCCCGTTTCAGGCCCCGTCGGCCCCTTTTCAGGCCCCGTCGGCCCCGCGCTAGCCCCTCTCAGGCCCCGTCGGCCCGCGCTAGCCCCGTTTCAGGCCCCGTCGGCCCCGTTTCAGGCCCCGTCGGCCCCGCGCTAGCCCCTCTCAGGCCCCGTCGGCCCGCGCTAGCCCCGTTTCAGGCCCCGTCGGCCCGCGCTAGCCCCGTTTCAGGCCCCGTAGGCCCCGCGCTAACCCCTCTCAGGCCCCGGGCGGCCCGTTCCCGCCGCAGCACACGAGGGAGAGCGGGCGGCCCGTCCCCGCCGTGACCCGAGCCGAGCCGCGCGCCCCGAGCCGAGCCGCGCCACCCAGCCGAACCGCGACCCGACCTGAACCGAGCCGCGCCGCCCTGCCCTACCTGGTTCGTCCTACCTGCTTCTCCTACTGCTACTGCTGCTATTTCTACTGTTCCTATGGCTAGCCCACAGGTTCTCGTGTTCGATGCTGAGGGCCGCCCTGTGAAGTTTGACACCTGGCTCGATGACCTGCACCTCTACCTACAGCTCACAGCCAAGGATGACATCTCACTGTACGATCACGCCCTAGGCCTTGTCACTGCCCCTGCTGCTACTGCTGACAGCACTGCTCGCTCACAGTGGCAGACTCGTGATGCCCACGCTCGCTTCGCCATTCGCAACTCCCTGCCGATAGACGAACGCGAGCACTTTGGTCAGCACAAGACTGCACAGGCACTGTACACAGCTGTAGTTGCTCGCTACTCCTCACCTGCCTCTGCCGCACTAGGCCGTCTCTCCCTCCCCTACCTGTTTCCCGACCTGGCCTCCTTTCACACAGTCGCTGACCTCATCACGCACCTCCGTACTAGTGAGGCCCGCTTCCGTGCCGCCATGCCTGCTGAGTTCCTTGCCACGCACCCCCCTCCACTCTGGCTCACTCTCTATCACCTAGTCACCCGCCTCCCTGACACACTGCGTGCTGTCAGGGACCACTTCCTAGCTCGTTGCCCCACTGAGCTCACCATTGCCCTCCTCGAGAAGGAGCTACTTGCAGCTGAGGCTAGCATAGTCGCTGTAGGTGCCTCTCGTGGCGACCCCCGTACCCCGTTCTTTGAGGGGTGTTCTCCTTCCCCCCTTCTTCCCTCTGTCGCCTCTGCTGCTGCTGTCGACCTTCTTGGTACTGAGAAGGTCGGCACTGCGTCTGCCTCGAGCGGACGCCGCAGCGGCAAGGGCAAAGGGGGCAAGGGTGGTGGCGGTGACGGCGGGGGAGGCGGCGGTGGGGGCGGTGGAGGCAGTGGGGGTGGTGGCTCGGCTGGAGGGGCGAGTGGTAGCGGTGGGGGTGGTGGCGGCAGCGGTGGGGGAGGTGGCAGGAGTGGAGGCGGCGGTTGGGGTGGCGGTGGACGAGGCGGCGGCAGGGGTTGGGGTGGTCGAGGAGGTGGCAGCGGTGGTGGTGGCCGTGGAGGCGCTGGCGGTGGCCAGGGCCAGCAGCACACTCTCTCGCCCCAGGAAGTCCGTGAGTGGTACTCTCAGCACGGGGGTGGGGGTGGTCTTAGCTGCACGTACGTCATTCGCACTGGTGACCGCACTGGTCAGCAGTGTGGACGACCGCACGCCACACAGCGCTGCTTCTCTCGTCTCGACGACGCTTGGCGTGTTCAGTTCCCTCAGGCCACTGAGCTGCCCCGCTGGCTTGATCTCCTGAAGAAGGGGATTGATATCTATGCTCTAGACTTTGATGCTATTCTATCTGCCATGTATGTGATGTCTACTAGTGGAGAGGGTGCTGAGTACTTGTGTGTGCCGCCCGACCCGGGCATTAGGGCCAGTGCGTCTGCCGCTCCAGGTACTCACGTGTCGGCTACCCCAGGTGCTGGTGAGGCTGCTGCTCTAGGTGCTCGTGTGTCTCCCCCCCTTGGTACTGCGTCGACTGCCGCACTGCACACCTTCACACTGGACTCAGGTGCTTCTCGCTGCTTCTTTCGTGACCGCACTGCCCTTGAGCCGCTTGCTCGGCCAGTTGCTGTCTCCCTTGCTGACCCCTCTGGGGGTCCGGTCATTGCGACCTCTTCCACTGTCCTTCCCTGCCCTGCGGTCCCGTCGGGCACACTGTCAGGTCTCCACCTCCCCTCGTTCTCTACGAACTTGGTGGCAGGCTGTGCACTCCAGGACGGGGGTGTTCACCAGTTCACCCCTGCCTACGAGCACATGACACACTGCACGTGTGCTCGTACGGGCCGTCACTTGGCTACCTTCACTCGGCAGCCGGGGTCGGACCTGTACACACTGACTACTGAGTCCCCTCAGGTTGCTGCGACTGCGTCCGCGTCCGCGTCAGGTCAGCTGTCCGCCCCCTGCTCGTGTCGCTCTTTGGCACACGAGACTGTCCTCTGGCACCACCGCCTTGGCCACCCGTCTGTGCAGCGGCTTCGTGCCATGCACTCCAGGTACCTTGTCTCTGGCCTGCCCAGGGTCCTTCCTCCCCTCCCACCCTCGCCTGCTCCTACCTGTCTCCCCTGTGTCGAGGGACGGCAGCGCGCCGCTCCTCACTCCTCCTCGTTCCCCCCGACGACTGCTCCCTTGCAGACACTCCACATGGACGTGTGGGGCCCAGCCCGCGTCCGTGGTCAGGGTCAGGAGAGGTACTTCCTGATAGTTGTTGACGACTACTCGCGCTACACCTCGGTCTTCCCCTTGCGCACCAAGGGTGAGGTCCCTGATGTCTTGATCCCTTGGATCCGCAGAGCCCGTCTCCAGCTCAGCGAGCGTTTTCACTCGGACTTTCCTGTCCTGCGCTTGCACTCTGACAGAGGTGGTGAGTTCTCCTCCGACCTCTTGGCAGCCTACTGTGCTGAGCACGGCATTGAGCAGTCGTTCACGCTTCCGGCTTCTCCACAGCAGAATGGGGTTGCGGAGCACCGCATTGGCCTGGTCATGGAGGTCGCCCGTACCTCCTTGATCCATGCGGCTGCCCCCCACTTTCTGTGGCCGTTTGCGGTCCGGTACGCTGCGCATCAGCTCAGCCTCTGGCCCCGTGTCTCCTTGCCGGAGACCTCGCCCACGCTACTGTGGACGGGGGAGGTTGGCGATGCGTCGCGTTTCCGGGTCTGGGGGTCTCGAGCTTTTGTCCGCGATTCGTCTGCGGACAAGCTCTCCTCCCGTGCTGTTCCCTGCGTCTTCCTCGGCTTTGTCCCTGACGCGTCTGGTTGGCAGTTTTACCACGCCACCTCGCGCCGAGTCTTGCCCTCCCAGGACGTCACTTTTGACGAGTCCGTCCCCTACTACCGCCTCTTCCCCTACCGCACTGCCCCGCTCCCCCCCCCGCCTCTCTTCCTCTCGCCAGGTGCTGCTGTTGCAGACCCCCTCCCCCCTCAGGGTGCCGCTCCCTCAGGTGTGTCTCAGGTAGACCCGGTTGAGCCTGTTGAGGTAGCTGTCGACTCTCGTCCTGCTGGGGGTGCTGAGCCTGGGGGTGCTGAGCCTGGGGGTGTGGAGCCTGGGGGTGTGGAGCCTGGGGGTGTGGAGCCTGGGGGTGTGGAGCTTGAGGGTGCTGAGCTTGGGGGTGTGGAGCCTCGTGGTACTGAGCTGCGGAGTCCGGAGTCTGGGGGTTCTGCGTCTGGAGGTACGAGGTCTGGGAGTCCTGCACCTGGAGGAGCCCTCTCCTCGGAGCAGCTACGTGCGTGGTACTTAGAGTACTGCAGCCTCCGGAGAGGTACCGCTCGAGCCGGACGTACTACTGGGACTGGTGCTAGTACTTCTTCTCCCGTTCGGGAGCTCCCCTCCCGCGAGCGGATCCGTGAGTGGTACGAGCGGCGCTGCACTCTTCGGAGTGGCGTGCCTCGTGTTACGGACCCCGCTGCTGTTGGAGCTGCTGCTGGTGCTGAGGACCCGGGCGTTGGAGCTGCTGCTGG